CCCTAAATGGAAAGAAAAATTATAATTAGGGGACTATTTCCTGTGGGAGCTTAGATTGAACATCCTTTATTGCACAAGTCCTGAATGCTGGAGAAAAAATTCCACCCACTTCAGAAATTGTCAAGCTTGTGGACACTGGTCACTTAGAGCCTGAGTTGGCCAGTTGGAAGGTGCTAGGACTGGAATGAGACCTGCCCACTAAGGCAGGGTCAGAACCTGAGAGAAAATATTAAGCTGATAGAAAGAATTGTATTATTGTCTAATGATCCCATCCAAGGAGATTCATGCAACCCTACGAAGTGGTGAAATCAGTAAGAGAAGCTCACGTACCCTATCCCAAAACTGAAAAAGTAAAGAAAATAGAAGAAAAGAAACGTGCTGGGTGCCCAAAGTCCAGAAAGGAGAGAAAGATGGAGGAGAGGGGATTGTGGTATGACTATTCTCCATGGGAGTGCTTTCTCACTTTCTCTCTTTGGTCAAATTAAAAACAATAATAATTTAAAACTTAAGTAATTCTTAAATAAAACTCAAAACAAAAAGTACACACACACAGAAATTCCAAAAACTTAGAACCCTAAATGTGAATAAAAAGTATAATTCGGGGACTATTTAAAAATATAATTAGGGGACTATCTCTCCAGTGAGCACTTAACACCCTTTGTCAATTAACTATACATACATGTGTGTGTATACATACATATGTACATATATATGTGTGTGTATTATCTAGCTTGCTAATGATTTTTATGTCATTAAACTTTGCAACAGAACCAGTATCTTCCTTCCTCCTTTATTCCCCACTTTCTTTTAATTTTTCTCAAGGTAGTTATAAAAAACTTTTCTAATGTTCTTGCAGGAAAAAGATATACTAGAGCTCTTAACAAAGAGTTAAGAGCTTTGACTGTGGATTAACTACGCTTGTTCACAGTTTCACTCATGCTATCCACTCATTCACCCACCTATGCACTTGGCACTTACTAAGCACCTATTTTGTATTTATCCTTGTTTTTTTATTATTTTTTTAAATGAGAGTGAAATAGACACAGAGAGAAACAAACATCCTCAACAAGATGTCACCCTGAGATTTCCCAAGCCTTCCCAGCCAGGCAACATTGTTTGTCTTGACTGGAAAGTGCTTATGTGGGCTGAGGAAACAAACCCCCAATCTTCAGCAGCATCCAGGATTGCTGGAGCAGTGCGGTTCTGCTAGCCAGCCTGTGAGCACATATTTTGTACCAGACTTTGTGTTGGGTTCTAGAATCACATAACCACTCTACATGTGCTAGATTCTAGAGTCAGAGATAATCATGTCTCTACCCTCAAGATGCTCACAATCTCCAGCAATGCTTCCTATTGTGTTCCTAGTGTATCAAAATCACCTACGGTATTTGCCAAAATGCTGATTCCCAGGCTCCACTCTCCGTGCACTGATTCTCTAGGGGTGGAATCTGAGAGTCTGCATTTGGAAGTTCCTTAGCTTGGGGCCAACAGGTGGCATGGTAGTTAGGGTGTTGGACTCCCACATGACTGACTGCTGTCGGAGTCCCAGACCTTGCGGTTTGCTTTCTCACTACCCCTCCAGTCGATTTAAAAATAAATAAATAAATAATTTTAAAAAGAAGTTCCTCAGCTCTATTTTGTTTTCATTTTTTTAAAAAAAACTCCTACTGAAAATTGAGAACCGCTGAGTAGAAGAGACTGGCATGCAAATAGAATTTACAACTCTGGAGACAGTTCACTGATAATTTACGTACAAAATGCTACGGGAATAACGGCTGGGTCATAGATGGAAGAAAACTCCTCAAGGTGAAATCAAAGTAAGCATAAAATTAGCCAAACTGTTGCTCTCCGAACTGACTCAGATTTTCGGGCAAAAGTAACACTATGCAAAAGACACGTAAACGAAACAGTCCTTAGAGCTCCCAATAACACGTAACCCTTCTGTGCTGTGTTGCCTGAGGCTGCTTGGAGCTTTAGGATCCGAAGATTAAGCCCTAGAATTGGTCGCCCTTCAAGTTTCATCGCAACCCAGCAAACTACTCCCTTACTTTTCACGCAGCTGAAATTACACTCCGGTTTATCGGTGGATCAGTGCGCAGGCGCGCCTAGACCCCAGAGACTGCACATGCGCAACGTGTGACTCTGAAGCCAAAAGGTGGATGATTGAGGGCAAGTTATTTCCTGATCCCAAAACGTGCTTGCTCGAATCCAGATACTCTGGCTATTTAAATGGTTAGGAAGGGACTTTGTGTCTCAATATAAGCCCCCTTTTACCTGCTAGACCTCTCCAGTAAATCGGCTGCCAGGGCCCAACATGGCGGGACGCCCTTAAACACCAGCGCAGTCGTCCTGTAGGCGCACTGCCCGGGGGCGGGTCCCTCCCAAAGGGCGGGAGTTTGGGGGGCGGGGGCGGGCCTCCCGGGCAGCGGGCCCCCTACCCCACGCCCGGCCTTAGCTGCGGGCGCCGGCGCCGCCACGCCGC